ACAGCTCCTTTTAGTCCCCTTTATGAAGTGGTGAGATGTTGTGGAAGTTTTCCATTTAAATAAAGCCTGCAGATGAGCGGTGAGCTGTAGCTAACATCCTTTAATCAAAACACACAAAGAACAGACAGCCAAGCTTGTGGAGAGCCTACATGACCGCAGGGCAGACGGTCAGCAGAGTCTCCCGAGCCTAACATGGCTCTCAGTTAAATACCTTCTTCAGGAACAAAAGGCAGTACACAGCTGTTTTACACCTTAAGGTTCACACTCCCTTGCTACCTCCCAGAGTCCTCAAAGAGACAAAAGATTCTTCCTGTGGAGTTGTCTGCTTCCTCCCAACGTCCTTACTAGACCCCCACCATTTGTCTTACTGTATGGATGTGAAACATGTTTAAATCCAGTGGCACCAAGGCATTATACAATAAAATAATGTGATTAATACATAAATAAAAGAAATTCCTATACAGAGAAAATACAGAATACTTCAGAAGTAATTGTTATTTAATCAAATGAAAGAAGATTTAATACTGAGATTATACTAATATTTGTCTTGCTCAGCAGGACAAATATCAGTATTTCAATACCAGTTAGATATTGAATATCATTCATTTATGTCCTATTTCAGTATTTTTAATGTTTATATTTCTTTTAAAAATATTTTCTAATCATTTTGACAAAAAGTTAACTTTTCATTGATATTAAGGAACAGAAAATCAGCTACTAACCTTTAATGTCATTTGTCTGTGAAGGTTCTCAGTGGAGGTGGAGGTGGCCTCCACCTCCACCTCCACCTTAAGACAACAAAAATCAGCTGTGATCACTGTACTGGCATTAAGAGTGGATGTACTCTTCAAAAGAACTCATATTTTAAATATGATAAACTTGACATTACACAGTGACTTTCTGCTGTTGAGTCTGGAGTCCGGCCCCTGACTGACTCAGAGTGATAGATGCTGTCACTGTTATGGCTGATAGTAACAGCAAACTGCAGTCCTTTTCCAGGAGTCTGATCCAAGCGTTTCAGTGATGGCTACTGAACCCTGAGTACGTACAGGTCAGTCTGTGTGAATCTCCAGGCCTTTTTACTAGGGGTGCAACGATACACAAAATTCACGGTTCGGTTCGATACTTTGGTGTCACGGTTCGATATTTTTTCGATACAAAAAAATGTTCATGCCTTTTTAATTTGTCAATTATTAACATTTTAAATATATATTTTAACTCAAAAGTACAGTTTTTAAATTTAATGTTGCTGAAACAACAAAATAATAAAAATAAATAAATCTATCTGATCGAGGAATCACTCATCTTTGGAAAAGAGAGTTTATTACAGAGAAATGGCTCTTTCCGAAATAAAAGCTATACTATACCCTTCTTCTGGGCTATATTCTCAGCAGCATATTAAACATATCAGGTCCCCATGAAGAGAATCATGTGCTAACGGCTGTCTAAATGACGCGGGTAAAGTTTGTAGCATGTGTGCTTGTTGTTTTTGTTTGCTTCCACTTGTCTTTGCACTAGGATGATGTCGGCGTACATGTGCAGTCATATTCATTGTGTTCCCACTAGTGCTGTCAGCGTTAATCTCGTTAAAATGACATTAACGCCATAACACGGCAAATCTCCATTAACGAGTTACCGCGGATCGCCCGTGCGTGGGGCTGGACGGCGTCAACACGTTAACAAGCTAACTGCGCTAACGCACTAGTTCCCACCAATTGAGCATTGCGTGGCACATCTGACATACTGTTTTACTTTTGTCCATGACGCGCTTACCATCAGGGTCATACGTCACATGAAAACCAAAATAGTTCCAAAGGCCAGATCTGAATTAGGGTGGGGGAGGTTCAGTTTCGGGTAGCGTTGAGGCAGTTGCCATGTTGCAACGAGCTTAGCTTCTGTCTTGCTAGCTTGCGCTGCGCTCAGTGGATCTGCACTCGACAGTGCAGCCTGGGCAGAGTAGTCGAACGTAGATCCACTGAGTGATCAACACAGACAGCATCGTCAGAAGAAAAGTTGATAAAATAAATAAAAAAATTTGTATTGTTCGATACATATGCGTACCGAACCGAAAGCACTGTATCGAACGGTTCAATATCGATACGAGTATTGTTGCACCCCTACTTTTTACCACCGCCTCAAACTCAGTCAGCGTTTGACCCTCAGTACCTACAAATAGTCATCCAGAATTATCTTCTGTAATTAAAACATGTATCTTTCAACATTTTTTAATCTGTTCTTACCAGGCCTGTATATTAACAAGAGAAGAAAAACAACCATGAACTCATGAGAATTTATCATCAAAGCCATTTTCCTGCCAGTCTTCAGTGGTGCAGCTCAATCTTGTCATGTCCGTTTTCATATTCTGCAGCACATATTCAAAGATGGAAGCAGTCTGAGTTTGCATCAGCTCCTCCTTATCAATCAATTTAACAAAAGAAATGTTCAAGCTAACCAAACAAACATATATACAAGTAATATGTATGTTCATCAGGGTTCATCATGTATGTTCAGCAGAAAAAGAAAGAAAATGATTTTTAGTGTTTCCTGGTTTTAGTATTTCCTGACTTTACCCTGAAGTAAATTTGAAAAAAGGTATTTATTTATTTATAAGTTCAATTATTTAAGTACCATGTTTTTCTTCATCACCCTTTGTTTCTGCTTCAGTGACCTTTTTTTAGCGTTTTATCTTTCAACAAGGGTTTCACCAAGTTAACTCAGAATAAGTTTAAATACATTAACTCAGAATTTAAAGAGAATTAATTAAAACATTATGATATGTTCATGTGAAAAGTAGTGAAAATATTTATTTTTCTACATATCCTATATTTTCATTGATATTTTCTTGTTTTCTTCTTTAAATTGTGGTTAAATGTTTGTGAATTTTATTTTTCACATTGTTACCATAACATGTTTTTAGATTCTGTGTGTTTTACTAATATTTATTCACAGATGGTACAGTCACAGGTGTTATTGTGACAGTGAGTTGAACATCATATTCTTGATCATCTACTGCCCCCTGTAGGTTCCTGTGAAACTGTATGTCTGAAGGTTTTTGTAAAGCCTCTCTCATTACTTAAACCACTGTGTGTCTTTGGCACAGTAATACACAGCAGAGTCCTCTGGCTTTAGGTTGGAAAGGCTCAGATGCACCATGCTGTTGCTGTCATCTCTACTGATTTCTATTCGTCCACTCAGACTGCTCACATATCTGTTGCTGCTGGAAGATGAGTAGCCAATTCCTATCCATTCCAGTGTTTCTCCTGGTTTTTGTCTTATCCAGTGCATAGTACAGCAGCTAAACGTGAAACCAGATCCTCTGCAGGAGAGACTGAGAGTCTCCCCAGGTTTTTTCACTACAGGACTGGAAGGAATGGACTCCATACTCTGAGGAGTAACACCTGAGGAGTTAAAAAGAAACCAGTTAGACAGACATCTGCAAAATGTTCTTATAGCACTCGTTATAAGAACATAAACAATAAGAAGCAGAAGAACTCACAGTGAAGCAAAGAAGCAACCAGCAACAGAGTGAGTGTCTGTGTCATTGTGAGTCTAGAGATTGTTCACTGCTGCTCCAACAATCAACACTCAGCACAAGACAAGTGAGCAGCACAGAAGTACACTGCACACAGTGAAGATTTGCATTAGCATATTATGGCGAGGGAGGGGCTCTTGTGCTGGCATCTCTTATGATTAATAAGTCAGACTTTCATTGTAGCATTTATTATTTGAAACAACTTCTTCATCATGCAGTATAATAACCAAAAATAATTAAATAATTGCTGAATATGCCATTCATCCAAAGTCTTAAGGATAAACACAAGTACTATATAACTATTATGTAAATCTTTAAAAACATATGAATCTGAATGATTTTATTTGTTCTTCATTCTTTATTTTGATGAAGTCATTTCTTAATTCATTTAAATTACACAATCAGCTGTGCTTCCTTAATTAGATAAAGTCTTACATGCTCAGAAGTTCCCCAATCCTTACTGTTGGTATAAATCCAACAGTGTTTTAGTAATTATGGATTGTCTCTTTAGTCTAATATATGTTTAAAAAAGCACAGAGGCTGAATGTGTTCTGTGAGGAAAATGCTGAATTTTAACCTGTGCAACATTTAAAATCAGAAGTACAGAAAATTAAAATATTGGTGTTGGTGGTTTGTGTTATTATGACTCTGTGGCACAGGTATATGCAGCACATTAGATACAAATCCACCCCAGTCCTTTTTCCTGCTGGCTGGCTGACTGAAGCTGTGAGGCTCACAGGATTCAGTATCCAATAGCTGCAGAACTGTAGAGAAAATAAAAGCTTCACTTTTAATGCTGAAACTGACATGATGAGGTCAAGTCTTTATAGAAGACTGTTAAAGAAATTACTTTGAATGGAAAATTTCATGGATATAAAGTGCTTTTCATTGCACAAGTACTTAAGGCTCCTTCACTAAATTATTGGTTTGCTCAAATTCACCCCAAGTGTCAGATAGAGTTCATTTTCTTCTTCAAGTACATGTCAGCTCCTGTAGGCCTTATTGCTTATGTATTATTTTTAAACCTGGCTGTTAAAGAATTTGAAGGTATGTACATATTTCACATCTGTATGATGCCCCTGAAAATTTAACATGTAACTACTTAATGTTGTGTATCTTAAAACACACAGAAGTAGATGTTTTGTAGCTTCTGGAGTGATGTATGTTGCTGTGCATGAAAACCAGTTCACTACATTTGGCTTCAAAATATTTCTGCCAAATATCATGTTTTTAATTGTGTTAATGTAATGTTTTCAAACAGTTTATTTATGAATTAAAAAGTAATGAATTCAACAGTGCAGTAAAACTTTCAAGTACAGGCATTTTTCCCAACAACAACAGATGAATATGTTCTTACAGAAACAGGAAGTCCACAGCTTTCATTCTGTATGTAAAAGCATGGTGCCAGACATAATATCTTAAATTTATCTTCAAACTGCTTCCTTCATTTGTTGACTGCAAGACTGAGTTAAGAGGTTTTTGTAAAGCCTCCCTGAGTATTTACACCACTGTGGGAGTGTCTAGCACAGTAATACACAGCAGAGTCCTCTGGCTTTAGGTTGGACAGTCTCAGATACACCATGCTGTTGCTGTTGTCTTTGGTGATTTCTACACGTCCTTCCACACTGCTCGCATAAGCAGTTCTACTTGCATCAGACGAAATGACTCCTAACCATTCTAATGCTTTTCCATCAGGTTGTCTGATCCAGTCCATTCCAAAGCTGCCAAAACTGAAACCACTTCCTCTACAGGAAAGACTGACAGCTTCCTGAGGCTTTTTCAGCACTGGAGTGGAAGGAATGGACTCCATAGCCTGAGCATTCAAACCTGCCAAAAATAAAACAGAAATAAAAACAGATCAGTGAAGTTATAAATACATGCAGGAACATTTGATGAACTAATTTCCACATGCTGTGTTAGAAAATGAAGCAGCTTACAGGGCAGACAGAGCACTGTCAGCAGAACAGACAGTCTGAGCATCATCTTGAAAGAGAAGGTGTGAAGGAAGTGCTGTGAGAGGACAGCCAGTCATAACAGAACCTAAGTAAGCCGTCTGGATTTAAATAGGGAGGGGCTAAAATGTCTGGGTCACATAAAATTCAAATGAGTTGAATTCCCTCCTTTTACAGTTGCTGTATTTTATTATAGGACTGTGAACATTTTTTTATTTATGTATTTTTTTTCATTGGGTTGTATTTATTGTGGTTATTTTAAGGATTTTTGGTACAATCTGCTACAACAACGCCTTTGAAAATTTCATTATATGTGTATTCTTTGCATCCAGTGAGGGTGGAGTGAGGATTATGATATTATACAGTATCATATATTATATCATATAAAGTCTATAATTAGTGAAGAGAAAAATGTTTAATAAATCACAAGACTAAAAAAAAAGGGTTGATTATCTGACACAGTAATACACTGATCATTAGAGTCAATGCACTACTAGAGCAGTCTGTGTTGATGTTGAACTTGTTCTTTATTGCTTGTACTGTGTGCTGTGTCTGACATGTACACTACAAATGGGCTCGGTTTCCTTTCCTGCATGCATTAATTTTTCAACAACACTCTTCCTAAAGAAAATAAAAATGTAGTATCCAGAAAAGCTCTCTGGCATCTCTGGGCACAAGCTCTGGTTGATGAAAATACACCACATATAGTAACACTGTGTCCGTGTGCTAGAGCAGCATTCTTCCTTTGGAACAGAGTGAGTTAAATTGCCTGTTTTGTTATACTTCATGAAATTTGAAATATACAGTAGTACGGTTGTTTGTACAAAAAATGGGAGTTTAAATAATTTGAAAAAATTGTTGGTTTATTTATTCAGTCTTTCAACTTCTATGGAAACAAAGGTCTGTTTGTAAATCAAATCCTGACAGACCACTGCATTTGTTTAGGATTCGTCTTAGTTCAAACTATAGGATCAAAGACATTCCTTTGTGTCTGACCACCTCTCCAGCCACTTTGGTGTTGGGGGAGGCTGATGGAGGTTTTATTGTAGACGCATCCTATCTGAGAGATCTCTTTCTTGTGTTGTAAACTTCCTGCTTTTATGATCCTTTTGGTGAGCAGGAGGTCACACAAACACATACACATACACACGTTCGTGCACACACACACACACACACACACACAGTGCCTTGTCTTTTGTAACCAAGGGGGTTCTACGGTGGGAGGTGCTTGTGTTATATTGTGTAAACTGTAACTGTCATGGGAATAAATAGCTGCGAGGAGAGCTGCTCTTTGAAGGATTTGGGCTAGAGACAGGTGAGGAGCATTAAGCCCGACCGCCTGGTTCTGACCAAAGCTTCCCTCGTTAGCGAGTAAAAGACCGATTGAAGATGCTCTGTCTTCTTTTTCGTTCTTCATGAGGAATAAGTCTCTAAACTAGCAGGGCCTGTGGAAACACAGACTCAAAAGTGAACTGCTAGTGAAAATTGTTTTCTTCACAAATAACTCTCTTACTGAACTAACACAGCCGAACCCTCAACATGTTTGTACTCTCTGGTCATATTGTCTTCATATTAAATAACTTTTTTTAAAGAACTTATTTTAACATTGCACTCAACAACAAATAAATCCTCCCTAACAAAAAAGTAACTTCAAGGGCCAAATTGTATTATATTTTTTCATGTCAATATTTGGGCCGCAAGTAGGGGTGATGTGGGCTACAAGTGGCCCCTGGGCTGTGAGTTTGAGACCCCTGCTTTAGACTATTTATGTGCAGATACAGCTGCTGTCTTTGTTGTCTATAAAGATGATAAACTGTCTCTAAATTTGTGTGGGTAGCATTTGTTGCTACTACTACTTCAGTGATGGTAGTGATCACCCTCTGGACCCATTTTCCAACAGTCTGTCGGATGCAGCTCATTCATTACTCAACGTCAAAGTCAGCGTTATTTTCAAAAACCATGTGTACAGATCACAGACAGGAATTTGAGATTACAGCGCCCCCACAGCCCTCAGTGTTACACTAAAACAACATAAAAGATAAAAAGATAAAAATCTTATGTACAAAACAATCTTATCTACACAAGAGTTTCCAACACAATCCAAGAGTCCATGTGACAACAAACAAAACTGTTCTTTCTGATTTTTGATCATTATTCTATCATTTCACAATCAGGATTCTCTGGTTTCTGAGACAAAGGGAACCTTTTTTCTGTCAATAAATGTGGTTTTCTATATTTAACTTTAATCAACAATTCATTCACAAGTATCTGTACAGGTTTTTGCTTTTAGTTGTAGATGATGCAGTCAAAATACAATTTTAAAAACAATTAGCCTGTCAATGAAAACATTTTAAGTTACAATTTGAAATCATTTATATTAAAGAACACAGTAACGCTTACTCATGCTGTGACATTTTTTATCAAATATTTCAAAATCAGTTTTGTAGAATTTCCACACAAACTGAAAAGTTTATCTATGAACTGTTTCCTTGTAATTGTTTATATGCTTTATATATTCTGAGGTAAGTTGATCTATAGTGTTACATCATATTCTATAAGGATGTTATGTGTTTGTATACTTTCTGCCCAGTTTGACCCATTTAGCAGAAGTCAGCCTGTTAAAGGCTCTGATATCTATTCTGTATGACTTAAAGCAGTTATGACATGGTCTGATTTTCTCACCCAATAAAGGAATATTTCATATATCAGTCTACTCTTCATTTTATCAGAAACAGTTATCACAGCTTGTACATTTTCTTTTTATAAATATATGTAAGCAATGAGGTGTTAAGACATATAAATAACTGCAACTTGAATCTGTACTGAAGCTCAGTATTTGGCACAGAGTTCATGTTCACTGCTGTAATAGCTAATAATGATTAATATAATAACTATAATATTGGCCATATTATATTTACATTACCAAAGTGATATGACTTTAGTCTCATGAACAACATCAGCTAATTCTTATTTACTAACTAATCTTGAAATAACTGTTCAGTACAGAAATGAAGCCCAAAAATCATGTTTTACTGTCCTGTGGTCTCAGCCTCAGATACTTATCAAATCACACAAAGCTCTTGTAGAAACAAACAAACAAATGAACAAAATATGTTCTCCCTCATTTCTGTCAAACCAAGTTGTATGACACGTTTCCAGCGGTTAGTATCATGGTTGCTAGGCAACCTGGGAAGCGCGACGGAGACTAGACCGTCCCATACAGACAAACTTGCCGTTTATTTTGCAAATCGAGCTCAACACTGCCTGTACAAAAGGGTTAGGTTTGTGTATGGGATTTCCTATGCCCCCTGAATGCACCATCGGGGTGCATGTCCGCAACTTTAGTTCAGAGACAAACGGCAGCTGAACAACGGACAGTGTGTGCGTTCATAAGACCAAACCACACACACACACACACACCCACACACACTCTCTCGCCTAGCTGCGGGCACATTCTCAATTGGAAATACAAAGAATGACAACTTTATTCCTGGACTCTGCCTGTTTGTTCCTCTCACATCTGAACATTTGCAAGTGTTCTGACCCGACACTCTGAAGTGATTGCTGCCAGCTCAGATTTCTTTAACCCTTCGGAACACTGCCCCTAGCGTCCTGGAACACTTCCGTTGTGTTTTGGAATTTGCATGTGTTTTGGAGTTTGCATGTGTTTTTTAGTTTGCAAGTGTTTTGGAGTTTGCATGTGTTTTGGATTTTGCAAGTGTTTTGGAATTTGCATGTGTTTTGGAGTTTGCATGTGTTTTTTAGTTTGCAAGTGTTTTGGAGTTTGCATGTGTTTTGGAATTTGCATGTGTTTTGGAGTTTGCATGTGCTTTGGAGTTTGCAAGTGTTTTGGAGTTTGTACGTGCTTTGTCTCTAGGGGCCACCGTAGTAATGCACAATTTTGCTGTTTGCAAACCGCCAATACACACACACACAAACAGAGGTACAAATAAAAGTACTATGCCGTAATCCAGTCAGTGAGATGATGGGAGGAAAAAACACAAATGTGGCACTCTTACTGTACATCTATCTCTCTCTCTCTCTCTCTCACACACACACACACACACACACACACACACGCACACAAACAGAAGTACAAACAAAAGTACAAATAAAAGGAAATATTATTTAAAAAACAAATATAGTGTTGGATTTCTTTGTAGTGTTGGAAAAATCTTTTCAATTCCGACATGGCAGATGAAAACATTTACATTTAAACATCTACAAAAAACTATTTATTGCAACACTATACAAAACCAAGTTTATTGTTGTTTTGAGTGTAAGTCAATTAAATGTATTTTTCTTTAATTTGGGAGAAAAAAAAATCAGTGTTTGACTTAGTTTGATGGGTTTTTGTACAGCGTTTCTTCCTCTTGTGTCACTGTGGCTCTGTGGCACAATAATAAACAGCAGAATCCTCAGTTGCCAAGCTGTTCATCTGCAGATACACCTGCTTTCTGCTGTTGTCTCTGGAGATGGTAAAGCGGCCTTGGACTGACTGAGAGTAGACGCTGCCACTACTGTCACTCCAGATTGTGGCAACCCACTCCGGTCCTTTCCCAGCAGCCTGTCTGATCCAAGCAGCATGTCTATTATCACTGAACCCTGAGTATGTACAGGTCAGTCTGTGTGATTCTCCAGGCCTTTTAACCACTGGTTCAGACTCAGTCAGCGTTTGACCCTCAGTACCTACAGACAAAAACATAATTAGCTTCTTTATATCAAACATATCTTAATGTTTGCAGAAGAAATGTGCTGTCCTTACCAGCCCAGTAAACTGACACTATAAGAAAAATAAAGGTAAACTTGGGACAGTTCATTGTAAAAGTCATGTCCCTCTGCTCAGTCTACAGTCGTGTAAATCAACCATGTAGTCGCTTTGTTATATTTGGCAACATTTATGTAAAACTCTGAATTTGCATCAGTTTCTTCTCCTCAAAGAGGAACATATGTCATGTCACACAAACTTCTGCACATCACTTATATTAGTCAAGTAAATCTTATAAATGCACAAATTATGTTTATTATTTA